TAATCAACACTAATCACTTTAAAATTACAAAAATCATTTTAAACTTTTGATTACTGACAGTTGACCATATAATGTGTTGACCGTATATTGTGATGAGATGTTATTATTGTTGTTACATTAAATTAATTTTTTTAAAATAAAAAACGTATTTGAAATTCCTAAATAAATAATAACTAATTCACAAAAAAAAAGATATACCAAAATCTATATATATATAAAGAGGGAGTTGATGGAATTGAGGTTACTAATAATAAATGTAAATGCTTCTTTTGGAAATGGTATCAACAATATTTTTGGAAACAAATATATAATTAGTATGTTTGTCTTTTTAGTTTATTAAATCATTCATGATAATTAATAATCAATTTAATATAGAATGAGTATCTTATATGACTTGATAATCAAAGTACGTGCATTATTCAACAATAATTTATGGTATTGAATCATTTTTTTATATCAAATGATTTGAGATGATGATATATAACCTTTTTATAATTTTTTATATATGGTAAGAAAAAAAAACATATTAAATATTATTTTTTACGTTTCCATATGGAAAGAATCTTATACAAATAAAATTGGATTAGTTTAATTGTAGAAAAACTGAAATAAAATGATTCAGTTTCCATATGGAAAGAATCTTATACAAATAAAATTGGATTAGTTTATTTGTAGAAAAACTGAAATAAAATGATTCATAAATTTGCGCAAAGATTGTAGTATATTAATGTATAATTCATTTTTCTTGAATTATGAAAGAACAATATATAATGTAAAAATAATTCCATCACTTGCAACCAATTGAACAAAGCAGCATAAATATTCTGGTTTTCCAAATCATGAATTGCACTTAAAGGTTGAGACTCCTGTCATGTTGTTGAGAAACATTGATCATTCAATTGGACTGTGTAATGGAACACGCTTGGTGATAACGAAACTTTTCACTCACATGTTTGAAGTGTAAGAATCTAACAGGATCGAATGGTGGACATAAGGTATTGGTATCAAGACTTTCCCTAACTCCATCTGATCTCATGATACCCTTCAAGTTCCAATGTAGACAATTTACTCTTATGTTTTCTTACGCAATGACAATCAACAAGAGTCAAGAGCAGTCGTTATTCCATGTCGGACTTTACATGAAAAGACTGGTGTTTATTAGTCCTGGTCAATTATACGTTAATGTGTCTCGAGTCACTAATCCATAGGATTTATAAGATATTAATATGTGGGGGGACGACAATGGGGAAAAGAAACTACTAAAAATGTTGTCTATCAAGAAGTTTTTCATAATTTGTAATACCATATAATATTGTACTTTTACTATATATTCAATAATAATGCTATTTATTTGTCATTTACTTTTTATGATATATATATATTTATATATTTTAATGTATTTATTAAAATATTTTAATAAATATGTTCCGTGCATCGCACGGGTGAAGATACTAGTATACATTACATCCAACTAGATAAATGCAATTTTTTTTAAAAAAAAATATTCCAACTCCTTTAATTGTAAATTTGGACAGCAAAAAGGTGAAAGTGAAATAATTAATCATTATATGCATACAAATCACTCACAATACTTTATTTACATTTGTGCAAGTGCACAGGTCGAATACTAGTTAAAATTAAATTTCAAATACGCTTTAAAAATTGCATTTTTGTTTTAAAACGCTGCTTTTCACTTCTATCAATAAATGATATGATTTTTATGATAAAAAAATAAAATAATTTATTTATTTTATATATGCAATATGAATAAGTTCGTAAATGAATATTTAATTTGATATATTATATATAAAAATTAATAATAAATATAAAAATTTTTAACTTTTAAATATATCTATAATTTAAGTTACTAATGTTTTATAATTTTAATAGTCCTAAATGAATAGAACTTAAATGTACATGGATTGCTCCAAAGCACTAGGAATTGACACGTATGGACTATGGTTACGAAACACCGTCATTTATAAGAACTCGAAACATAGGATTGAGGCATTATTAAGATGATAAGTTTCTCCCAAAAAAATCTAATCATTTTTAACTCAACCACTTTTTTTAAAAGGAAATTACACCTCATACTAATATACTTAATTTATATAACACTTTTGGACTCCTTATATTTTTATTTTTAAAATCACCTAAACAAACTAAAAAAATTTCAATTATACCTAATACACACTGGTTAACCGTTATTCTTTCTTAAATGCTAATGAGATATTTAAGTGAATTAAAGATGCACTTACCTAAAAAAGTGGAACAAAAAAATCAAAAACAAAACCACCACACCGCCATCAATCTGCAAAACCCCTCTCATTTACACTCTGAGCTCTCACGGGTCTCGCTCGTCGTCACCGGTAGTTTTTTATACTTTCTGAAATTTCATTTTTGTGTTTATTCCGAGGAACCATGCCGGGCTTGGGTCAGCCTCCTCCTCCAGGTCTAACATCATCATCTGCCACTTTAATAATTTTGTATGTCGGTTTGATTTCACTTGTCTTGTTAATATTTTTTTTCTTCCCTCTGAAATTGTAGATGTTGCGGATGACAGGGAAGACTTGCAGCTTGGTCCATATAATATATATATATATATATATATATATATATATATATATTTATAATTTATTTTATTACTCTTTCTTTGTTTGAATTTTTCCCCCAATTGCCAAAATAACAATTTTCTTTTGTTCCTATCTAACTTCCGTGGTGGGTGTTAGGTTTAATTGAGGGAACAAACTGTGTCACAAGCAGTGCAAGTTGAATCAGAAAATTTCATAGAAGGTAGGCATTTTAGGGGAAGTGGAGAGTCGGACGATCCGCAAGGAATGAGCGACCCTTGGCTTTGTATATGTAGTATATGTTTAGTGAGAAAATCGGTAGTATATGTTGCGTGTATATGTAGTATATATGCAATAGATATTTTGTTTGAAAAACTTCTGAGGATAATTTTTCCTTATAAAATTTCTCGTCCTCTTTTTTTCCAGTATATTTTTGGTATCCGGTAAAATCAGAATTATGTACAGTTGAATGAACTTTAAAAATCACAAAATAAACTAGAAATATACTGTTAATAAACTAGAAATAAATTAGAAATATTTATGGTTGACCCATTTCGTTTTTTTTTTCTTTTATAAAATTTCACGTCCTCGTTTTTTTCCGGTATATTTAGGGTATATTTCCGGTAAAATCAGAATCATGTACAGTTGAATGAACTCTAAAATTACAAAATAAACTAGAAATATTTATGACTGACATGTCTCTTTTTTTTTTCTTTATAAAATTTCACGTCCTCATTTTTTTCGGTATATTCTAGGTATATTTTCGGTAAAATCAGAATCATGTACAGTTGAATGAACGTTAAAATCACAAAATATGGTTTAAATACAAATTTCTTGGGCATAAAATTTCAGCAAATCGTTATATTTTTCCTGTTATGCATTCCAAAGTGAACATGCCCATTTTTTTAGGGAATGTAGGTTGCACCATATGTAACTGTTTTCTAGGGATTAATGTAGTTACTTTTTATCTATTAGGTATATACAAAATTAAATATTAATGAATGATATTTTTGAAATAATTTTACTTTCGTGTGGGATACACAAAAAAATCTATTTTTTTAACTCAACTTTAACTCAACCCACTATCATCACTATAATTAAATAATATCAATCAATCAACCCACTATCATTAATATTATCAATATAATTAAATAATATCAATCAATTATTCTTACACACAATATCAACTTTAATTTACTATTCATCTACTCACATAATTTTAACTAACTATTACATCACATCTTCTCTCTCCTACTTTTACATCAATTTAATTTTAATTATTTTATTTTAAAAATTATTTTAATATACCCACTAACAATTAACCATACCAACTTTTTCAAATTTAACAAACCCAAACCAAAAATCCAATCAAAACAAAACAAATTTATATTCAAGCATGCTCATAAAATTTATAAACGTAGGATCTGAACATAAAATATAAGTAGACTTGAAGAATTGACGGTTCCGAGCCGCGATTTTGGAGGTTCTATATCGGCACGATCATATATAGGGCCAGTTCAGGCGGTTCCGAGCCGGTTCATGACCCATCGTTTTTGGGCCAACCCGATTTATCAAACAAATAAACAATAATTAAAAATTAATATATATATATTTTTTTTTAAAAAAAAAAAATGCATCATCAGTTCCAATTCAGGTGACAGTTCGAAACAAGTACAGGTCACGATAAAACCATGGGCCGGTTCGAACCGATTCGGGTCAGACCGACGAGCCAATTCGACACGTGGTCATGTCTAAAAGTGATAACTATCCATAACGTTCGTGAAAAAGTTGAACCAGCTTACAAACCGATTGCGTAAAACCACAAAATCAAATAAAAAACCTACGCTTCAGAAATCAAAAGCAAGAAGAAGAAGAAGATGAAGGCGATTGTGATTACGGAGCCCGGCGGGCCCGAAGTCCTGCAGCTACGAGAAGTCGATGAGCCCCAAATCAATGACAACGAAGTTTTGATCAGAATTGCAGCCACCGCACTCAACCGCGCCGACACACTCCAGAGGATGGGCAAGTACCCTCCTCCCAAAGGCGACAGCGAGTATCCTGGCCTCGAGTGCTCCGGCACAGTCGTAGCCGTCGGAAAAGACGTCCACCGCTGGAAGATCGGCGATGAGGTTTTTCTTCTGATTTTTTCTATTTGAATTCCTCGATTGGGTTCACTTTCATTTGTTCCAGGTACCGAAATTATTAGGGTTCACTTTAATTTGTTATTCCTAAGAAGTTAATTGGTATGTGGTGAAAAAGGTTTGTGCTCTTGTTGGTGGAGGGGGATATGCCGAGAAAATTGCGGTGCCTGCTGGGCAAGTTCTTCCCGTTCCGGCTGGTGTTTCTATGAAGGATGCAGCTAGTTTTCCAGAGGTGGCCTGTACGGTTTGGTCCACTGTGTTTATGATGAGCCGATTAGCTGAAGGAGAGACTTTCCTGGTATGTTTTTCCATCTTCTTGATTAGGATTCTTGTGCAGGATAGTGGAAACAGTGATTAACCTTTACCTGGTTACAAATATTCTGTAAGTTAAATTTCCATCATAACTATAAGGATATAAGTTTGTGGGCAGTAGTGCTTTTTATTTGCAAGTTGTCGTGATTTTTGATTAGAGAGTAGCTAATTGACTCCTTGGGGGATATATCACTCTAATGATTATTAAGAGACTTTTTTCTTTTCTTTTTTTGGTTGCCCTTTTGAAATGTCAATGCACGTAGAAATTTTAAAATGATTGTAAGTGTTGTCGAAAACTTGCATTTTTGTGTTGTTGTGCTGCAGTTCAAAAGCTGCGTGTGAGAATTTATTTCTGTGAGTTGTAAATCTAACTTCTCGGCACTTTTCTGCATCTTGTGAAAATTCGTGTCAAGAATTGTTGAACGACTGTGGGTTAGTACTGAGAAACCTCAGAACAACACATGAAAGAAGAAAAATTGTAAAGCTTCAATGCTTAACTTGATGACCCAAAAGTTTTCTAAGTAAGAAGAAGGCGCATAGATAAAGTTTTGGAGCTTTTTACACCATTGAATAAAGACAAACCTTGAGTACAATTTCATATTATATTGATGAGATCTTTTAGAAATCTTATAAACCAAATGTCTGCTTACCATAGTTGTTTCTGGAATCTATTTTCATTTCAACTGGGGAAAAAAAAATGTTTAATTTCAGATACATGGGGGCTCCAGTGGAATTGGTACTTTTGCTATTCAGCTTGCTAAATACCATGGCATCAGAGTTTTCGTCACTGCAGGTTTGACGCAAATGACAATTTTCATTAATCTTGCAATGATGATATGCAGTTGGTACTCACTGAAATTTCACTGATAATTATTAACAAAACACATTCTGCCATTTAGGAAGTGAAGAAAAACTAGCTGCCTGCAAGGACCTTGGAGCTGATGTTTGCATCAATTACAAGACTGAGGATTTTGTTTCCCGAGTGAAGGAAGAAACGGGAGGACAAGGTTGTAAATTATTTGGATCTGTCTCGTTTTTCATTGTCATCTTCAATCACGACATTATAATATAACTTATAATTTACTCGATTGTTCAGAAAATTCCTTTCTAAAAAATGCTCCTTTTTTTTCCCCCAATGGATAGGTGTTGATGTCATACTAGACAACATCGGTGCATCATACTTGAAGAGGAACTTGGAAAGCCTGAATTTTAACGGGAGACTTTTCATAATTGGGTTTATGGGTGGGTCAGTGACTGAAATAAACCTCGCCAGTTTACTAGCACGACGCCTCACAGTCCAGGGTAAACGCACTCAAATGTTACTGAAGTTTTTTAAGATTCTCCTTTTTTTTTATCATGATATAGTGTTGTTTCAGTTATTATTACAAAAAAATTATTTATGTTCGAGTGAGATTCAAATTTTTAAAACTAATTTATTTTATTCTATGGCCTTTGCTATAGCTGCCGGCCTGAGGAGTAGAAGTACAGAAAACAAGGCTCAGATTGTGAGTGAAGTGGAGAAAAACGTGTGGCCGGCAATTGCGGCAGGCAAGGTCAAACCAGTCATTTACAAGTCTGTTCCATTAGAAGACGCTGCAGAAGCTCATCGGCTCATGGAAAGCAGCAAGCATATAGGAAAAATTATCCTTAGCGTTTAATAAAATGCCGTTTCCAGGTATTATTGTACTGCAACACTTGCAATAAGACTTCGGCTTTCACGTTTTCATCTTGTTTGTATTCGTACCTATGATGAGGAATGTAAGTGAAAACACGGTGTGCACTTTGTTATATGCTATCTTTTTTTCATCACTACACTTTGTCTAATTTTTGTTTCGTGAAAGAAAACAAACGTACGGCTTACTATGCGTGCAACTGCTGAACGCCGATTGGCGAACACATAGAAACAGGTTTATCAAAAAAATTTAGGTCATTAGGATTTAGTACACGAGAAAATGACCCCAGGTACTTACTCTGTTAGTTTTACTAGCATAGATTCCCGTTTGCAATTGTATTATAAATAAAACAAAAGTATTATACAATATTTTGTTTATTTATTTTGCTTTATAATGAAATATTTATATTATTTTAAAGTCTACAAAATTTTAACAATTTGATGATATAATTATGGATGAGCTCGGTTTGGATATCTGTAATTTATTTATTTATTTATTATTTTTATGTTTTTTATGATACAAAACTTCAATTAAATCTATCTGTCATTTTTAGTTGTTTTTTTTTGCTCGCTCTTATTATGTCTAGTCTTTATCATGCACGAGTCACTTAAATTTTTGCGTACTACTTTGTCGTTTATAATAGGCAAAATTGCATTAAAATACACAACCTTCTAATTTTTTGCAATTTAATTACCACCTTTTAAAGTTTGCAACTAAGTACATAAGTTTTAGACATTTGGCAAATCGAAGCATGCCAAACAGAAACAAGCACCGACTTTCTTACGTGTCAATGTCGGATACTCATGTGGAAATCAGAAACACCTGTATAAGTCCAAAAATACCAAACAAAAAATTAAAATACCACAAAACCAGTCTACTTGGCAGATTTGTTAAAATAAAAACAAAATTAAGTAGCTCCTCAACCCTAAATTCAAAATCAGTCGAACAACTGTTAACCCTAAATTGAAAAAATGTCGATCAATTCAAAATGTTGTGGCTTAAATAACTCACCTCCAAAATAATCTACAGAACCATCATCTCCCCCCATAGTTCAAATTGTTCGATAATTTTGTAATTTAGGGTTCTTAGTTGTTCGATTGATTTGTAATTTAGGGCTGCTGAGCTACTTAATTTTGATTTTATTTTAGCAAATCTGTCAGGTAGTCTGATTTTGTGGCATTTTAATTTTTGTTTGTTATTTTTTGACTTCCACATGTGTTTTTGATTTCCACGTGAGTTTCCGACGATACCACGTAAGAGAGCAGGTGCCAGTTTCCGTTTGACATGCTTTGATTTACCAAATGTCTAAAGCTGGTGTACTTAATTGCAAACTTTGAAAGGTGGTGATTAAATTGCAAAAAGTTAGAAGGTGGTGCATTTTGATGCAATTTTGCCTTTATAATATTTGAATAAAAATACATACTTATATCAAATGCGATAATTTTAATAATTTATTTTTTTTAAGCATGACATTTTCTAATGAAACAATTTAATTTTGCGCCAATATAATTTTGCTTATTGTTATGATAATTCGCGTTACACTACGTAATTTTCCACCAAAATTTTCCATGCTTTTCAAAAATTGTGATCTCGATTAAAAAAAATATATATATTTTTTTGAATAATAGTGAGATCTTGAATTGTATCCTACTATAAGATTTGTCGTATTATTTACGCTCCAATTTTTCTTTGTTTTTTTATTTTTATATTTTTCCCTTATTTAAACTTTTGGTTGGCATAATAACCAAATTGGAGAAACATAGAATGTGTTTTGCGGTCCAAACTCTTTTAATTGCTGCATTTTCGTGAGGGTTAAGGTTATGTTTGGTAAAATTAGCTGATAAGCTAGTTGATAGCTGATAAGCTAACTTATAGCTTATATGTAATTTTTGAGTTTATAGCTGAAAAGCTAGTTTATATGATAAAAGGTGTTTGGTAAATTAGCTGATAAGCTAGCTGAAATAAAAAAATTCAACTAGCTTATTTGAAAAGCTACCTAAAGTAGCTTATGAAATAAGCTCGAGCTTTTTAAAAAAGCTCGTCCTACGAAACGAGGCTTATTTTAAACAGGGAACTTATAAGCTAATCAAATAAGCTAAAAACTAACTTATTTGGTTTACCAAACATACCCTTAACTTTTGGTCGGCAATTCCACTTACTAGAGACCCCAATACGTCTTTTCAGCCACCCATTTATTATTATTATTATTATTATTATTATTATTATTATTATTATTATTATTATTATTATTATTATTATTATTAAGAGATTTTCAAGTAGGTTTATTACAAGTTATTTTTCTTAACACAATTACAATACTTATATTATAAACCATATTTAAAAAAAAAAAAAAAAAAGTACTCCTATGATATTTGATACGAAAATTGCGCAATTTTTTTGAATTGTCTAATAATTAATCAGCATAATGTCAACATTAATTACTGCTCTAACGAGTAAAGATAAAAAAAAATCCTGCTTGTTATATAAATTTTGATCCCCTGCCCACGGTGGGCAGTGCCCACCACTTTGTTTTATATGAAAAACGTATTCTGAGAATACGTTTTTCAAAGCGGGACTACTTGTTATATAAAGATAAAAATTACTCTGGTTAACCAATATTAACGAGTAGTTAATGAAAATTTTGGTTAAAGGTTAATTAATATATAACTAATTTCAGCTTTAAAATAAGCAAGATATATGCTGTGTGTGTGTGTGTGATCAATTTTGACTTTAAGAGTAGCATCACAAATTGAGTCAAAAATTAGTGAGTTCTGGAATAATTATCCAGCTGATGACTTTCCCACCACCGTCCATTCAACTTTCAGTTACTGTTTCATTTTATTATTTTTTTCCTTTTTTTTTTGTAGCCAGCCACGATATTTGAAGTTATACTCCGACTAAGTTGTTGGTCGACCCGGATCGCACACCTAGTAGTGGTGGGTGAGTCTCCCAACAAAAATTTTCTTCATCCACAATGACTCGAACTCGAGACTTTACTTAAGCGACATCAACCTGCTTACCACTTGAGCCAAGGTTGGTATTATTATTTTTTTCTTTGACTTTTGAGAGTAGTAACAAACCAAAAGTGTCACGGCCGTAATATTGAAAATTTGCAATATATCAATCGTTTTCTAGTAGATTATTCATGACGTTAATCCTTCCATGCCAATCCTCAAGGGATATATAAGCTCCAATTTTATATATTTTTATTTATATCAAATTTGGTAGATTACATTGATTTTATTATTCCATTTTTTGTGAATTAATGGAAAAGATAAAAAATTAATTTTCAAAATCATTTAAGAATGAAGGATAATAATTTAATTCTAATTAAGTTACAAATAAACTAATATGTAAAAAAAAAAATTGAATTTTAGTAGCCCAAAACTCTTGAAAATATTTTTTCCACATACATCTCTAAGGTACAATCCAAATGCTATGTTGATAACAATATATATATATCGTTAGCACTATTATCACTAAATTGAATGCAACTATATAATATACATTGAAACAATATCGGTACTATCTATCTTATCTAACTACACGTGGATTCAACGGTTAAAACACTCGACGGAATAGTTCTGTAACGGACCGTAGCATCTCCCATAACTATATATATCGAAGTCACAATCAAAGCCTATCCAAAACTCAGCATATACAAAGATCGATGCTAACAAACTCATTTACTATTAAGTGATGTATTTGCAGATTTGCAGTCAAATTTAAGACGTCATTAAACTTTACATTAATAGTCAACTATTTCTTCGTTATGGTTATTTATTGCATGGCTTCTTATCTACATCTCGTTTTTTTCTATTTTCTGCAAAATTATTAGGCATGGGCGGTAATTATTTCATATATATATATAGGAAGTTGCATGAGAAACAACAGATATGTCGGTAAAGTATATATAAATATTAATATTAATCCCTCATAATATAATAAAAAAATAATCAAATATATGTGGTGTTGTGTGGTCCAATTTATATTTCTGCAGTGTGAACAAATTTAATTGATGAAAAATTAGAAAAGAAACAAAGACTCGATCGATCCAATTGCAGCCACGAGTAGTTTTTGACCAATTAAGTGACGCGATATCAAATGTGATCGTGGTTACAGACACTGGGAGTAGCGCCGTAACGATCGTCGCGGGGTCGTTGCAAAGCCAGGTCTTGGGGTCGTCGACTCGTGACTCGACTAGTTTTCTGCACTATCATTTGCAAACTTTCGACCATTTCGTGATTCGAACTTGTCTGTTTCCGACTCTAAATAACCTTTGAGCTACTAAAACTCATTTATTCTCACACATAACACCTAGAATGAATTTTACATTCAATCTACAATAGTTTAGAGATATTTCTAAGTCTTTTGTTCGCGAAAATTGAACTGCGAAATCGATACAAAACAACTTTTTTTTTTTTTTCTTACAAAACCGTCATACTTTGAGAATAAATATGTATATTTATGCTATCAAACATATTTTTATTTATTTAATTTTCCAAAGTATGACAATTTTCAAATTGTAATATGCATATTTTTGAAAGGAGTATGCTTCCTACAAAATAGCCAGCTTTATATCAAATTTATGTACCTAATTATTAATCAGTTACAATTTTTCAATTATCCTATTTTATGTAGGAACATGATAATTTTAAAATGATCTACATGTCATCATCTATACAACAACAACATAGCCTTTTTATCCCGAGCTCATGTCATCATCTATAGTATATATAAATATTGTTAGTTCTCTTTGTCCGTACAATCTATGTTATGAACAAAATTAATAAATTAACATCAATTAACCACAAGTTTTGCCAACTCCATTGATAATAAAAAGATCCTTGTCATTTTTCATTCATTCATTCCAACTCATATCTACATATATACATATAATGAAGTGACATAGCTTAGAAGTACCGTAATTATTTTTTGTGATTTTTTAGAGTAATACAAAATACATAAGCAATGACTAACTGCACCTATTTATTTTTGAATGGGACAACTTAAATTCTTGCATATATATTAATGTGTTTTTTTTTTTTTTAACTTTATTTAGATTCATACTTAACTTGATTGAAGCAAATGCAAAAATCAGATCTGGAAAGCTAAGAAAACACAGATTAGATTCATCAGGGACCACAATAATTAAATTTATTTTGAATATTTAAATACTTCATTTAACAATGCAAATTTTTTTTTTTATCAGGAAATGTAAATTTATAGATCAAAACTGGAGTACAAACTGTAATACATTGCATTATTATTTTCATTTACGATGACATTTGTTCGTTTCACAAAACCACGACAATTTTAATTACACAGTTTAACATTCACGAGCTAAATTAATTTTGCCTAATGGTGATAATTTTAGAGTTTATAACATAAAACACCGCAGACTAATAATATTAGTCAATTATATTTGATATGTATTCCTTTTTATTGTTTTAATTAGCATTGATTATATTTTTATTATTTTTCTAATAAGGATTAGTTGATTATTTTTAAAGTTAATCAGAGTTTGATCATTTTTAAAGAATTGAAAAAAAAAAGATACCCTAACTTAATTAAGCCCAACATATACATCGAAATGAGAAATTACTAGCTTAGTATATAGAGTTCAAAAGCACTAAAAAATGACATTAAACTCGTACACGACAATAATTGTACTTTAATTTGTGTGTGTACATACGTGTACATTTTGATGCTGCTAATTCATTTATTGAATTAATAACAAATTCATAAAATATATACACGACATTTAAGATAGCCTAATTGCTCCACATACTATAGGGAAATGCTACGGTGATGTTACAGAACTATGCCATCGGAGTTTGTAACCGTTAGATCGTCATGTTACCGTAAAAAATAGTTGGTCTAACAATTACAAACCTCGACAGAATGATTCCGTAACAGGACCGTATCATCTCCCTTAGAAAATATTTTTGAATATAAATAGAAAAAGATTGAAATTGCGGAATGGAATTAAAATTTTTAAATTTCACACCATAATTAGGTCACTGAATAATTGCTCGAAAGTCAAAAATCCTAAAATAGTGGTAAAATGCGGAAAAGGGAACATTTGCTGGTTGCAGAAAGAAATTGGCAACGACCATTAAAGGTCAAGCTCACACGCTTTAATGAGGAGTACATTCCGCTTTATTAGGGGCACATAATTAAAAAGGGTGTTAATCGAGCTGAGCAGCTCATGTTCGAACTCGTACTTGTTTAATAAACGAGTCTATTTGGCTCGAATTGTTTAAATAAATGAGTCAAATTTTCGGCTTAATAAACTTGACGAGTTTACGTTCGTGAAAGCTCAGCTCTAACTCTTTTGACAAATCTGTAATGAAGTCTTTAACTATTTTTGTCTTGTACTTGTTTAACAAACGAGCCAAGTCGGCTTGATTTGTTTAATAAATAAGTCAAATTATCGGCTTAAGCTTGGGTCGTTTGCATTTGTGAAAGCTCGGCTCAACTCATTTGACAAATCTGTAATGGTGAATCTTTAACGATCTTTTTGTTAGCCAGTTCGGTTTAACTATTATACTTAACATCCATAAGGAAAAAAAAAAACGAACTGTTTGCAAATAAGAATGACTAAGCTCGTTTAACAAACGAGTTTGATTAGTTGTTTGAACTCCACTTGCTTAAATAAAGCGAACTAGTCGAGTTCGAGTTTTCATGAATCGAATTGATGATGAGTTGTGTTTGCATACTGTTTGATGCGTTTAACAGCTCTAACGTATAATAATCATTTTTTCACTTATAAAAAAGAAAAAAGGGAAGTACGCTTTCACTTTCAGTTTGCTTTTACGGAATGTAGCTGCAATGTACTTATAATAGCGATTTGAGGAAGAAAAGAGAAGAACTTTTGAACTGGAAAAGTGAGAAGGATGGAAAATGGTCGGCCCGATCCGACCCGAAAACCATGGGCCCGGAGCCTTCTCATCATCTTTTGGTCCCTTTTTCTCGATGGCTCCCCACTAACGGTCTTAAAAACCAGAGCCAGCGAATTATTATTTTTGGTAAATAAATAAAAAAAAAAAAAAATCTTCTTATTTCTCCTTTTATAATCACTATTAAAAGAATTAGTCTGACACTTAATTAATAGAAGCTTAGAACAAAAATAAATTTATAATGATTCTGATACGAAGCTCGGCTAAGCCTTATATTTGATAACCATAATATTTTTATGAAGAAAAATGCATATACATATATATTTAGTATTACTCGGAAATGGTCCCGTTACGGAATCATTCTGTCGTGATTTATAAACGTTATATCATCATGTAATCGTAAAGGATAGTTGATCTAACGGTTACAAACTCTGTCGGAGATAGTTGACGTAACAGTTAAAATAGGACATTGTTAATAATATGAGAAAATATAACAGGCCAAGCACCACAAATGATCCTTTCCTTAGCTGGGTATTTACTTAATCAAGAATTCAAGATAACGTGATAATCACTTTGGCCGACCAAAGAAAGGAAGGGACAAATCCTGAAGGATGTGTTAAATAAACGACACCGTTTCACTTTACTGAGTTTCCTCATATCAGTATCACCATACTCTCAGCACCTTCCAACTTATGAAAATTTAATTTCACAAACTATTCAATTTATTTATTTATTTTGATTACATATTTATTTATTTATTCAGTGCCCACAACTCTCCATGTGGGCCAACCCATGCAACCACACTCGCTGTCCCCTAATCCGACGGGCCAGATTTTACGCAAGCCCACAAACCGCGTGTTCCCAAAGCCCACTATCCCCACTTATATAATCCCCCAAAATTCATCTCTGTCCCCTCCCCTCCAAAGAAGCTCACAATAACAGAAAAAGATAAAGAAAAAAAAAAAAAAAAAGAAAATTTGGAAAAGAAGAGAGGAATTGCTTACATGGTATCGATGGGTGGCTGGATTTTATCCATGAAAATCCTCCTGATTTCAGCCGGAGTCGTCTCCTTGGCCGTCGGGTTGAGATTCGCCGTGCCGGCGGCGGCGGACGGGATTCCCGCGCTGTGGTCCGCCGCCGTGTCCTGGCTCAGGCCTCCCTACCTGTACCTGATCATCAACGGCATCATCATCACCATCGCCGCCTCCTCGCGCTTCCAGAAGAGCCACTCGGAGCAGCCGCCGGCCGCTCAGCACCTGATCTCAGTCAAAACTCCTCCGACGGTGAGTTTCGAGCCGTTTCCGGCTCAGGTAGATGTTGTCGCCGTGGTGGAGGAGCCTGCGGAGGCGGCGACTGCAGTGGCGGAGGTTGTGGTTTCGGATATTGAAGACGCCGTTGTCGAATTGAGACCTGTGACGGTGGACGGATCGGAGGTCGGCATAGATTCGCCAGAAGAAATCGCGATTGAAGCTGATCAGGATAAGGATGTGTTTGTTGACTACACGATTGAATACAGAAACACGCCTCCGTCGCCGTCGCCGTCGCCGCCGCCGGAGGAGATGGTTTCTCGGGAGATTCAGCTCGAGTCTCTCTTCCCGGCGAGGGAGAAACCCCTTGTTACCTCCAGATTCGCTCACCGGAAGCCAAATAGATCCAATCCTGAAGGTAATTACTCAATTAATTAACTCAAAAAACACTTACTATTATTGATATTGGGAATCGCAGCGTTGATTTTTCGATTATGTGTTTTAGTTTTTCGATATAACATTAATTGTTTTGCTAACTGGTCGTCGCTGTTAAATCAGCAGGCGCGCGGGCCTTGCGGGTAACAAAGACGAAAAAGCACGAGACGCTGGAGAGCACGTGGAAGATGATAACGGAGGGGCGGCACGTGCCGCTCACGAGGCACCTGAAGAAGCCGGAAGACCACGGCGGCGACGTTCCGGCGCCGGCGAGGATCGGGAAGGAGCCGTCGCCGGGACAGGAAGAGCTGAACCGGCGGGTGGAGGCGTTTATAAATAAATTCAACGAGGAAATGAGGATGCAAAGGCAAGAATCGATGAATCAGTTCATGGAGATGATAAACCGTGGCCTGTAAAGTAAAGCTCACGTTTATTTTATTTTATTTTATTTTAATTTCATTTTTTTTTTTTTTTT